AAGACAACGTGACACGGTCAGGGACCAGCTTGAGGGTGCGGTCGGAGATCTCCGACGAGTGAGACCGGAGAGGCAAGACGCCATCGGTGCTCGGGGGCTTTTTGTTGGAAGCAGACAATCAGGGGGCCATTGCATTGACCAAGGACCCTCGCTTTCACTCACGCACCAAGCACATTGACATCCAATGGCATTTCGTACGGGACCAAGTGGAAACAGGAGCAGTCACATTCGAATGGGTACCCACCAACGACATGGCTGCGGACGGACTTACCAAAGCCCTTACAAATGACAAATTTGCTACATTTGTACACCAAATTGGACTCAAGAAGAGTGGATAGGAGGAACAGCCCAAATTTGGACTGTGTGGGAGTGTTGGAATCAGCCAATAGGAGGCCAGCATGTCTACACACTACTAAGTTCCAAATAGGTGTTGTGACTACTTCTCATGGTGGCAAATAGCCTTATGGTGGCAAATAGCCTTAGCGTGGCTTCACACCATAGATAGGTAGTCACCTCCATCCTTCCTACATACTTCTTCATAGAACATGACAATGAATAACTATTCTACATGATATGAGACCATTGAATGCACACAATATCCAATACTTTTGCGCACCGAACTCCAAGCCGAGAGGGCTGAAGCCGAAGAGCTCGAGGTTATTGTCACGGTTTCAACCACCTTACTTGTCTTCTGGCCTAAATATGTGCTGGGGCGCGGGCTTCCCAGTAGTGAAAAGCTTGCCGAGTACTGGTTTTTGACTGTTTAATTCTCAGGGAGACCCCCTAAAACCCCTCGGACCCCTCGGGGGCTCTTTAAGAGGGCTCTCCGAGAGCTTGTATCGGAGGGGCTGCCAAAGCAAGCTCGAAATCAATCAAATATCACTAAAACAATCAAATTTCGAGCTTGCTTTGGCAGCCCCTCCGATACAAGCTCTCGGAGAGCCCTTAAAGAGCTCCGAAGGGTTTAAGGGATTTTAAGGGATCTAACCCTGAGAATCGAGACGTTGTGATTTATTTGATATACTTAGGGGAGACCCCCTAAAACCCCCCTGACCCTCCGGGGGCTCTCCGAGGGCTCCTGCCGGAGAGGCTCTTCTCGCAAGCTCGATAGTTAGACGAATACTTTATCAAATTTCGTCTACGCTACGTTATTTGAAAGCGTATAAATAATTCTATAACTCTACGTATTTAGTTTATTATTATATTTTTGATAAAATAAAAGGAATCAAAAAAGGTAGATTTAAGGATTTTGAAGTTCTTTTCCAGCTTCCTCTTTTGGACGTACCCGTGTGCACCCGCGTTTAGATCGAAAATGAAGAAATAAGGTGTGTTTTAGACTGAAAATGGTGAAATCCGATGATCTGATTGGTCACTAGCCTCTCAGCGTAGCACCCATTCTTGTTTTCAAGTCTTGAGCATTGAGAAAGCAAGCTTTCCAATTAGGCTTAGCGTGCCAAGGCCTTTCGGCCTTTCTACCCCGCTGTGAAACCCACACTTTGTAATTGTTCTACATAGATGGTATTCTCTTCACACTACAATGAAGAGTTATCACACACACCATTGAGTCCCTGACAGTTATCGTTATAGGACCGTGTACATCTACAGCCTCGTCAGTTCTTTGAATCAGAACCGAATACTAAAGTCCCAGGCCAGCAGCGGTATGTGCGCTCGCTCCAGACACAGCCGTTGATGGGAAGAGGAGGATGGGGAAGGGAAGGAGGTCGAAGTCAAATCTCACGATTCAAAATGGTTTCTGCGCCGACTATGTTCGCGTAGCTCTCGCTATCAAAGATCCTTCGCAGCTTATCCGCACAACTTGCTCCTAGGCCCGCAGCATAAGCCTGGACAGCAAAAGCGAAAGAATGACTCGACTCGCTTTTGGGAGTCAAGCCGCAAGCTATCTCCAGCCAATAAGCGGCGATATCCGTATTGTATCGTGACGAAGCATAAAGACTTCGGTACCGTCATCGTGGAGCGACAGGGCGTACCAGAAGTGTAAGCCCGGCCAGAGATGATAGGTGGGAAGAGGGAGGAGGGGAGAAGGGCCAGCTCATACGACCTATCACAGACATGGCTGATTCGATGACTGCACAGCCAAGCTAGATACCAGTTATGCAGCCGTCTTTGTGTTATCAGGCGATGAATGAATATGGCTATGTCTTGCCAGATAACAATTGTTCGATCATCTATGGACCCATGGTAAGCATTCAAGATCTCATCAACATGATGGAGTATCAGCTAGTTAATGCAGCCTGCATCCATTTTCATCGATGAAGCTACCTTCGTAACCCTCTTCAAGCTTCCAGAGACAGATTTGAAATATTACTCTATAGATCTAGACGACATCACCGAAGTACATCACGTCATTCTTCAAAGGCTCTTCTTCAAACAATCTTGCCATTGATCAGTTTGTCAAACTTTAACTTCTGCACGACCAAGAGAGCGACGCTGGAGTCGAGCTCCATCGTGTCAACGAGCCATCCGAACCTTGAATACTCTATCACCGCTCTACATTTTTCACACCCAAGGATTTCTTTCTCTGCCAGATGCAGATGATGATAACGATCCTGAGTACATTGAGAACAACCCAAAAACCACAACATAAGAAGTAGTCCATGAAAAATCATCATTCACACCTTTAATAGGGCCCCTTCTATTTAATTCGCAACCAAACCTTTCCCGAAATCATATAAACATGGATGTCTTCCAGGATAGACAGCACAAGGTATACGAGACTAATTCTCGGACATCACGCCGTCACAGCTCGAAGTGATGACTAGCAACATGGCAGACCTCTTGCTCCTAGTCTTTTGCATTGCTTGTCATCCTCCTACTGCTCACCGCCTGGGACCGTATCTTGACATGACACAGTCGATACAGTCAATCACACCACGCAAGACGGCGGAATCCAGGTGCGCAGATGGCATCTAGATGGCCAGGAATCTCCAAGGAGAACTGGAACGAGGTAACCACCGTCCGAGACAATGCCCAGACCAAACACACACGAGAATTAGTCAGAGAATGACGGTGATGCGGCTCCCACGATGCAAGCGGCAAGCCTAGATTGGAAGGACGATGTTCGCCAATTGTACGGCGAGAGATCCGACCAATGGATCGTGGTCATCTACGTTTCCTGGAATTCTGCCTTCGCACTGATGAGCCAATACAGCCACCTTGTGCGGCCTCCACCGAGGCGCTTGACGACTGACTGTAACATCAAATTTCGAAGGGCCCCGGATCGTCAGTGGATGGGAACGATGCCACTACGACACCCGCGACTTTAGCGCTACCTTGTGAGCAATCCAGACGGTGGTACCATCAGCCTGACCCCCAAAACCATCACCCTGAAGTGCAGCAAAGCCTTTTTTGAGACGCAGAAGAGCCGGGTACACGAGTTTGCAAAATCTTTCTGTAGAGTGAACGACGAAGTTGGGTTCTCACCAAGGGTTGACTAGGGGGAGGTTGAAATGTGCTTCAAGATAGAAGATGGCGACTATGTACTCCTGCGGAAACGCCCTTGTCGCTGAAAAGATTCGTCAGCTTAGTCTCCACTGCTCATTTTACTAGAGCGGTAACTAATACTTAACTCTTATCTAGTTTGAGTCTCCGACGATGTTGAGGTTTTGGGGGCAGCTGGACTTCCCAGCGACTTGGCAGGCTCGGAATGGTAATTCAGGGCACAATGGTTACTGCTGGAAAGGCGGTCCCACCGCTGCCCAACTTCAAAGGTAATTGCCAAGGCGTTGTCATCCTATCCAACGGCAAGGTGTCTGTCATTGTGTCCGATGTCCGGCTTTGTGCTGGTCCCGGCAATCAGATTCCCCAAATTCAATACGGATGCTGCGAAGGCCAATGCTGGCATCGAGAAGTACAATGTGGTTAAGGTTCGGGTCGGGCTTGTTGAGAACCTGTATCCGACTGCTTTCGAGAAGGTAGAAGGGTTAGATGGCAAGGCTTTGAGGAAGAGCTGGATTTGGCAGGCGCCGCCCATTCCGCAGCCGCAGTCTCCAATCAATTTGCAGACACAGGCCGGCCGTTCAGATTCCAGGGCTGAGATCTTGCATAAATACCTATCGTTATCAAAGAGGGGGAAAGCGTGCTGCATTCGGAGAAGGATGGATGGAGAAAGAGGTGACGTTGGGACAGATATTCCTCCGTCCTCACCGTATGAATCACTTCATGTACGAGAATAGACCAATTCACCAGGTGAAGACTACATTCTTATAACCTCTTAACTCATGTCTACACCGAGTCGACAATACTGTAGCGTGATAACTTGATCTTCCTCAAGCACAGGCCCCAAAATCCCAACCACCGTAAGACAGAGCTCCGCCGCATTCATCCTGCATTTCTCGACATCCTTTGTCTGACCGGACTTTCGAGGAAGAAAATCGTGCGCAGGGAGACATAGGGACGAAATCGAATGATACACAAGCTGACTAAACAAGCCACTGTCTACACGAGAGGCTAAGAAGCACCGGAAAATCGTCGTCAGTGGTGAGTATATGAAGATCTCTTGGTCCCTTGTAATGTATAAATCTCGGCGTTGTATTACCAGCACATCTTTATCTCTCTTTATCCGAGATGTCGGTGTAGAGAGTGAGGGAGAGCTGAATCGACGAATTCTATGATCCTCTCGTCCTTGCATTTCCCTAGACACTGAAGTCGCTCGTATGAGTGGAAGTCGTCGTCTTACACGATGCTCATGTTGAGATCATGTGACACCGCAGGTGGAAACAAGCGTGGTCAGTGTTGGGTAACGTGGGACTTGGTATTTGGGTCCCGATAGCTTCGATGTTGTGCGTGAACGAATCCGGGGCAATCTTGCATGAAATCCAGATATCAACGTCTTCATTTATTCTAACAGTCGATTACACCCATCCGACACACATTATTGGCTCAGTTGGCCGCCGAAGTACCCTGGAGAATGACACCCAGTCAGCCATGCCACGATTATACCCACCAACAGCAAACATGGCAGTGGTATTAACGACTCACACTTATCTCTTGAGACGCTTCATGAATGCAAGAAGGGATCGTCCCGACCACCACTGCAAGCTGGAAGGAATGGACTTTTGATTTTTTCGCGCTTTTTTAAGCACTTCTGAGGTTTTTTCCTCTCCCAACAGATCCAACAGTATCTTTTGAGCTGACTGGGCAACATCAACTTGAACATCCTGGCGTACGTGCAGATCAGCGGCTCTCCCTGTCATCTTCCTGGCCAGGGTCTTCTGTCCAGTTACGATACGCTGTTGTAGGTTGGCGCCGTGGGAAAGTAGGGATTCGATGACCGGTAGATTATCATCGTCGGTAGCACCGAACCGACCCTTGATGGAAGATCGGAGGAAGTTACCCCACACCGTAGAGTCCTTGTACTTATCGTTGGGTCTGGCGCCATGTTGGAGAAGAATATCTATCATCTTCAGATCGTAGCTTGCTGCGAAGTACTTCGTCGCCGGAGATTCTAAAACAGAACCTAGGAGGATGCTCTTGTCTGACCGCGTCAGTGTTATTCTAGTTGTCAATATTTCCGTGATATAGAGATGGAGCCTTCTCTGGGCTAAGAACTCCAAGAAGTCAAGTCCGCCTCTCTTCCACTTAAAGAGGCCTGCCTGCTTTGAAACACATCGGCCTACCTCATCTAGTAGGTTGGACTGTGGAACATGACTCTCATACTCAAGCTTACTGGCGTAGTGTGTGAGGTCTTCTAGGAGGTCGTATGGGAGCCAGTCGTCGTCTTTGAGTACGCTATAATCTAGCGCTTTCAGTTGAGCAAGCAATGCCTTGCAGAAACGCAACTTAGGCTCAAATCCGGCCTTGAGGTGCTCAACAAGCATGTTCTGCATGTCTTTCGTGTGCAGAAAGTCGCGGACTGTGCGGTGGTGGAACTCCACCTTGGGTGCGTGGAACCGATAACTGTATGTGCTGGGACAATAGGTTCATGACTTTGCTGCTAACCACTTCCAGTAGTCCTTTACAGCGACCGTTCAGCCGCCTGCGCATGTCATCTTGTCTGGATGAGATTTCTTCAGTTGTGAGAGGATTGAAGGGTGCAGCTGCAACAGCGTCAAGATCTTCCTCATCAAGGAATGAGTACATCATCAAAGGGAGTGGTCGTTCGGTTTCGAGGGCAAATTCAAATGCTTGGGCAGTCTGCTCTCGGTAAACAGGCTCGACCGAAGTAATCATGTGGCCAAAGTATTTCTCAAGCGTCTCTGGAAATTCCTGGAGTCTCTTCTGTAAATCGTAGATTCTATCGGCATTCCTGAGACCCGCGAGGAGTGATCTGACCACCAGTATAACCCAGAGGAACACGCCTCGAGCTTTTTCTACAATCTCATGGACCAGGTCCTGACTGCGGTCGTCGCTGGCCTTTAGCGCTCTGAAACGCAAATTCTCTTCCAGAGTATTCCGAACGTAGATTCTGATATCTTCGCGAGTGAGATCTTCGAGAGTTAACTGTGGATCAGAAGATCGACCGAAAGCGTCTATGAACTCGTTGTAGGGTCGACTTGAGATGCAGAGCTTGATATCTGGCCAGCTCCGAAGACTTTCTAGGACGCTTACGATATGATCAGGGTCGCCGTCATACTCGTCAAGACCATCAATAAAGAAGCAAAATTTAGCTCTCACCCCGCTTTGTTCTTTAAGCTGCTCTATTGCGTGCCAAAGTTCTTCCCGACTCCATGGCTCAACTTCTCTCACAAAAGGGCGAAATGTCTTTGCTTTGGAAGCGCAAACGGTGCGAGTCAGATCTGGACACTGACTCAGTATCTCATACAGTAGCGAACGAAACAAGCCTTCCTGTGACTTCTGCATACTAGATCCCGAGTTCCAGAAGAAGAAGCTCGCAGTGACGAGTTCTTTAGTCCCCGCCCATGATTTCAATGATTCTGCTGTCTTGGTATGGTTGAGCAGAAACTTCATCAATGTTGATTTACCTGAGCCAGCTTTGCCCATGATCCAGTATATTCCGGTCTGAGATCGTACCCAGTCGTCGAACTTTGTTGGCGAAGACGGGTCCAGCACCCATCTGAATGTCTCTTCATGGGCGGACTCGACAGTTGCCTGCCGATGCTTTATGTAGTCGAACCAAAGGCTGTTGAGAAGCATGTTATCGGATGCCGATGATCTGACCTCCTCGGCCAAGCTGAAAATGTTATTCGACAGTCCTTTCATGTCTTCCCATGATGGTGATGATGGTGTCATTTCCGTGGCATCACCAGAGCTCAATCTTTGGACGGCCTTAGGCTCATCTCGTGCGGTTTCGTTACGACGTTTTGTCTCAGCTTGCAGTTGAGAGATTGCATCGTGGACGCCCTTTACTAGGCCCTCTAGCTGTTGCATTCCATCTAGCTTTAATCTTTTGTTCTCGGCGACAAGGCTTGCCAACATCATCTGTATTTCCGATTGTCCCTCGCTGTACATCGAGATTGTCAATGACTCTACGTATATATATAAAGACACATCGAAAAGTCTAAATAGAGGGCACTGGGTGCAAGGATTGTGTTCTTGGAAACGGATACGCAAAAAGCGACCTCACCTGAGCATTAATTGCAAGCCATATTGCGTTTCGTTTCGCAATTTCTCCATGCGCTTGACGAGTTCTTCAATCTGTTCTTTCTTCCACACGCTTCGCAAGGCTTGAACGAAGCTCTTCCATTTCCCGTGATCACCGTGGACTTTAATCTTGTTAAGAATTTCGAGAATTTCTTCAGCAACACCTTTACAGTTACTAGCCAGGCTTCTAATCGAATCTGGTATTGCTCCTGGCTCAGAAGGAGCAGCCAAGGCGTTATTGAGATTTATAAGATCGACGGAGATGGCTTCAATGACATCGTTCTCGGCGGATGCACCAGTGCGGGACCCATAGAGGCTTTTGGTGTCATGGAGGACTTTGCAAAAAAAGTCGATGAATTCCACGATATTCCCAGCGAGCCCAAGAGCAGTCACAGGGTCAATCATCTTGAGTAAGAATTCACGCTGAGAAGGGACGATTGTCCTCAGAGTTACCCGAACTCACGTTAGACAAGGCATCCACCGCTAGATCAATGGACGCACAGAGGAGCACTGGAAATGGAACTCTAGGACTCCGGCATGAACGAGTAGAAAGGCTGAGGTCGAGAGAAAATTTCCTGTTTGCCAGACACATAGGCAACGACAAGATTGTGAGTCTCAACAGCGCCAGTCAGTTGTAAGGGCGTGCTCGATGGCGCAACGAACCTCGGGAGAGCGCTTCGATGATACTCCACATTTCTCAATGGTTGATTCGACGTCGCTGTATAGAATGCATGATAGCTTCGAGTGTGACAGGCAGCTTGCCACATTGCCACAGTCACCCACACCTGGCAAGCTCACTAAGCCTCTTCTGGCAAGCTAATTCCCTTCGGGTTAGCCTGCAGATCTCTACTACGGTGGTCGGCACAACAGTACCTATGTACCTTATATGCTTACTCAAAGTTGTTTATGGACTGGTAGATACCTTACATACATGCTAGAGAAGCATTAAGGGAACACATCACCCAGAAAAGACCTGGTCCTATTCTAGTCTCAGTGGCCCCGCGCAGTGGGCAGATCTGGTTAAATGTATACCTACCTTAGGTAGGCCGGTAGGTTGATCTTATGGCAAGGCCGTCCAGGGATTCAGGTGTATGCTACTGGAAATCGTGACACTGCGAGACGGCATTCGACAAGACAGCATTTGATGATAGCGCAGCTCGGCTGTAAAGATACATGCTAATGCCACCTAAGACACCAACCCCAAAAGCAGACCGAGTCTTGTTCCTGGAGGTTTACCGTAAAAGTATCCTTATTTCGGAGACTGCTTTCAGCAAATGCGAGGATGTGCTATATCTCGACTTGATGAAGATTGTGATTCTCGCCAATTCATATAATACCTTCGACGTCGACATAAGAAACGAATTGTGGCATGACATCATTGCACGCGCCCGTCTTGTCGAGTGCTATGAATGTTACTCTTCACATACGGAGAATAGGCGAGGTCAGAAAGTGTGGTCCAATGGTGTTCCGCAGTCGTCAAGAAAGCTTTTCCGACTCTGCCTATTCTCTCGGGGCTCGCAATCATTGAAGAATCCGAGCCATTGTTCTTCCTATTCTCGCCACTCCCACGCGCTCGTATGTATCGGGCGTAGTTCCTGATCTATGCAGCAAGAGCATGGTAGGATGGTCCCGATAATTCCAGTGCTTTTGGAGCATGCACTCCATTGCCCATACAGTGTTCCTGCCACCTTCACTGTTCACGTCAAATGCACCATTAGCAATATGTCTTCCCTCGAATCGTAGATCCCATGGATACCACGAGCTGTAAGCCTTTTCCACGACTTCACACGGACGTCGAACCTTTGCAAGAGCAACGATCGCTCCCAGGTGGTCGTCCATTTTTGGTTCAAAGGCTTGCATTGACAAAAGTTGGGGTACTTTTGATGCCTAAACCTCCGGACGGGAAATGGACCTGCCCATTGATTGAGGCCCATGACCACGTAGGCGCAATATACTGACTGTATCTGCTTGCCCGGCTGCTATCGTGCGGATTCCAAAGCGGACCTCTTAAAAGGTCATCCCGCCAAATTCCTGCAAGATAATCATTGTTATCAGTGCATTTCCCCATACCATGAGCGGCTCTAAAAGCATGAGCGAGACCAGACAAGGCCGGCAACACGTCTGTTTCACGGCTGAGATCACGAGCAGAGTACCTTGACGGCGTCACTATTTACCACGTATATGTAAAAATCAGTGCCAGCGTACCTGGAAACTGTGCTGTATCACGCATCAACATCAAAGTGTGACTCGGAAGCTCCAGCGGTTTGCTCGAGCAACTAGCCCCCCCCCCCCCCCCTTATACTCTTTTTCATCGCTCAGACATGTTTTTTTTTTTTGGGGGGGCCTTTTTCGAGGCTATCTGTCAGTCTAGATCCAAAACTTACCCCAGTGTGAAATATTTAATTTTGTGATTTCTGTTGCCCTGTTAGCGAAAGACCAGACTCATCTTAGCCCTCGTGTTTCAACCATGAGGTCCGGTAACGTGGATCACGGGGTGGCTCATTTCCTTCCGAGGCGTCAATCACACGACATTCCCAAAACAACTTTCTTCCTGTAAAATGCAGCACACGTTTTGATAGGAAGCGGTCCTGAAAGGTCCAGCCTCTGGTATTCCAGCGAACTGTTTCTATGTTAGAAAACCAAGACCCTTGTATCGCCACCCGTTCGCATGTAAGCTAGGAAGAGGAGGCCGGCAGGTTCGGCGCGAACGTCCTTGTGGTAGGGTATACTGATGGTTGTCTCCTGCGACCGCTTTAGGAAACCATCAGTACTAGATATAGCGGAAGTTGCAGCTATAGTCAGATAGGCTAATCCATAGACATCGTTCATTCTCGCAGCTTCCCTTGCCCAGTCCGCTGGGTCATCTTGAATGATGCACAAAGCATCAATCCATAGAAAGCGCAACTGCAGCTTCCGAACAATGAGAACTCCACCTGAAAGTTCTGGGGCAACATGTTCAGAGGTATCCCACCTAACATGTCTTTGAGGGTTGATTTTCAATGTCCGAGCATGCTGGCGCGAATCAAACGCGATTAAAGATCCCCAGCAGTGACTGAGGGCCACATATTCTCCTGACTCCTTTGAAGTGACTATTAGACGCGGATGTTGTGAATTGTCTGCCGGACCAACGTCTATGACGCGTGTTGGTAATCTTGTATCACTCTTGTGGCGGCATTCAATATGTAGCGTCGAGCAAATGCTTAGCCATCTAGAGATCAATAATACATTGGCGTCGGATAGAGTCTCCATGTGGGGCTTTTTCCGCCTTATGTTCCCTCGTAGAGACGCTTCAGAATCTAGACACCATGAGCAAAGGCAACATCAAACCATTTTCCCACTTACCGGAATCCGCGTACACTGCAGACCATACCCAAGTAAATTTGGATTCAGGGCTACTAACGTTGCGTCGTGGAGGATACGGCCAGAATCCAAGGGACAGAGTGTGAACACCACCGAGAGACTGGTCGGTTGCTTGACTCCGATCACGTTCAGTCCAGTCTTCTTCGGTTGAAAAGACTGCACGGTCGACTGTCACCAGGCCATTCCATCCGGATGTGGGCCACTTGGCGCGAATTTCTGGGTGGAAATCGCTCTCGGCTTCTGCTATCTTCTCGTCTTTGTGCTTATCTTGTAGAGCATGCCTCAAGAGGCCATAAAAAGCACATTCCTTTCCGAGAGGAAACCTCGAGTGCAGGAAAGTTCGGGTATTGATCGACGCGATTATAAGGGATGCTGATCCTACCCAATTTGTTTTCTCCATTGTGAGGACTGATGAACTTGCAATGAGCGCAAGGCGCATTTGGTAGTATGTCCATAACGTGAGATGTAGGTTGCAACCTTAAGAGTTTCCTCCCATTCGAATAACTCGGAAGGCACGAGATATTCAAGCTCACAAACGCGGCAAGGGTCTGTGCTTATTTTGCTGGATCAGATTGTGGACTTCCTTGCCAGCAATGGGCCGCTTTCGTTGCGAACGTCTACTGCCTCTAATCGCTCTATGCCGAATGTCACCTTCCCTTTTTATCACCAATTTAGTGAAGTGCATAAAGATCTTCACTGTTAAAGAAGGCGATGCTCAACTGGTCTAGCTCCGACTGATTATATCTGCGGTGTAAGCTAATACCCTAGCAGTGCTAGCCTCTTTAATGCTTGAATTCCGACACGGCGAACCCACATTCTTTCATGGTAGAGTAATATGCTATCCACAAGTTGAGCCTCCTGCAGTTGTGAGCTGAGATACATGATCGTAGCAAAAGACAGCAAAATTCAATCAACATAGACACGTCCTTCGAGTAGACTTGATCCATTGCCTGAACCACATTGCACACAGCATTCCCGTTGTTAGGTAGCCACGAGTACTGTTATCGTCTCTTACCAGCATTTTCACTGGCTTCTCTCTCCTGGATACTCTTCATGATTGAAGGAATGGTGATAGTTGTGAAGAGCAGCTAACTACCTTTTGACCATAGGTACTAGTCTTATCATCTTAGAAAATCTACCCGTCATGCTCGAATCTAGGACTTACTTATTGAAAATGAGCCACTGATGTGATACATATGTGAGCTTTGAAGGACTGGCGCATTCCAGGGCTCTTGGCGCCAGCAACGATATTCCTTTGGCCTCATCCATTAGCATTCATGCTCCTTTGTACAACAAGCACCGCGTTAGATATGAAGACAATGATCATAGCGGCGCAACCGGAGATCACTAAGTTAAGTAGAACGATTGATGTGTCAAGAACGACACAGCGCATAAGGGTTTGAATCAAACGGCAGGAATATATACAGAAGAAGGGAGGAGGAGGATTGATGAGCACATTGCCGATAGTACAACAAGGCTTCAATTAAGGCATGGGACGGAACACGATACTTCTCGAACAGTATCAGTGTGTCGGTCCGTCGAGGAGCACGCCATCTTTCTGGCTTGAAGAGAGATTCTAGGGTTTGTCGTTTTACACACTTGCCTATTGGCTCAGTAGGAAGAGAAGTGGCAGAGCCTGGGAGGAGGAGTAAATAAGAGTGTTTCGCAGTGTACATCTAAGTCTCAAGGCGCAATATAGGTCCATACGAACAAAGTGTGAAACTTTCACCGTAGCATCCGAATTAGCTTCTATGGATAGGACGGAGAAGCCTAGCAAAATCTTGTCTAGACGACGTCTCCTTCTCCAACGTTCGTTACCCATCCAGCAGCAAGCATTTTGAAGTCTGCGGTTGTAATCAACTTCCTCATAACGGCACCAAGGGGCAGTGATGGATTCTGGGCGGCAAGCTTGCGTTTTCTTTTAAATGGCGCCCTTGCACGGTTGCACAGTTCTCGCCTGCGTGGCTTTGTAGCCACATCGATCATTATCCTCGAAGTACTCCACCAGGCTGAGCGTATCTCGGATTGTCTAACGCTTCGGAATATCTGGCTTTTAGTCTAACGGTCGTCACCTCCAAAGTCACTTTTTGTGGGCTTCGTAGTTGTCTGTATTTGCCTGAGATGGCCTGGCCCTTTTCCTCCACATGCTGCATCTTCACGGACAGGGGAACTCTTTGAATCCGCATCCTGAATTTTTTTGTATCAATGTTGTTGGATGGAGTTGCCAGTATGGAGATTTTGCCTGAAACTATAGTTGTGTCTTCTCGTTGAAAGCACGAAATGGTGTGATCTTTTAGCTCCTGAGCATCTGTATCAGTAGCTGGATATTCATAGGACGAGACCAAAATAGTTTCGCAGGAGGTGGGGATAGTATACTATTAGTGCGTGCATACGACGCAGGGCGCATGGGAGTTGACTGGGTGGAATTGAAGCTATTAGTCCGGCTCGACTAAGCGCGCATCGCTGAGTGACCCGAGAAGCAAAAGAGCATAGCTAACCTCTATTAAGAGGCCTTTGAACACAGCTATCGAGCAGCTTAAGACTCGCGGATTGCCGGGTCGAAGTTTTAGCTGGCCGGAGCTGCATTGCCCGAATGATCATCCGGACGCCATTCACTTGCTATATGAATGAATTAGCGTGATTTAAATTCAATCGCCTAGGTTCTTTGGTCCAGTCGTTTGAATTCCCGAAATATTGGATTCCCGTTGCGCTAACCAACTTTCAGTGTCGACTAAATTCACTATCTACAAACTATACTCGCTTTCACACCATATGTTCATCTTTGGAGACCATAGTAATGATGGTTCATTGCGGCCAATCACGCTAAAGGTCAAAAATGGTATAACACGTCTCCCACCAGTGGGAAGTCGACCTACCTTGGGTTTCAAGAGCGGTGTGGATGGACTCTGAATTATGGAATCCCACTTAGAGCGGAACCGACAAACTACGCCTTCCCTCCTTCCTACCTACCTACCTACCCTCCTTCGTTCGCCCATCTTTTTTTCCCATTTGCCTTTTGTTGTCTTTCAATCGTATCACTTTACCAGTGCTTCTTTATTCTGCTTCCCTTCCAATTTTGTTTCTGCCTGTTCCTTTTCTTGCGCTTATTAAAAGATTTCTCTACCTTCTCGTTTGTATTCTGACTTACGCTGCTGCCACGATTTTACTAATAGGGTTCATTATCGCCATCGTTGACCAAGTGGAGACTTGTAGAGTACTGTTCTTTGCTCATTGTAGCCTACCTTGAAAGTTGAGCGGTGCTACTGACTGTCCGACAAGTCAAAATCAGCTGGCAAATGGAGATGACTTAGGCTGATTTGAAGGCTCTTTAAATTCTATCATAGCGTACAGTCGAAGATTTAAAAACTAGGTTTGCCAAGAAGGTGCGTACATCCTCTCATGAATGCATGTCCTCATGTGGCAGCCTTTTCATTGTCGTGCCCTACTTGGTGTCCCCGTTGCCTCCATCCGCCTTTTCCATCGCTGTCTTCTTGCCCAGCAACTTCCCCTTCTCTTCCTTCTCCCTTATAACGGCTAGCTCCTGCTGCAGCTTCTCCACCTGTTCGTCTGCTCTTTTCAGTTGGAGTTCCAGCGCTCTGGACTTGTTCTCCGATTTGCCCTGGGCCAACAGAGCCTCCTTGACCTCCGCGCGGGCAGTTTCCGTGCGCTTGTCAGCGTCCGCGAGAGCGCGTACCAGTTTGTCTCGTGATTGCATGACTTTCTCTGTTGATTGCATGTAGATCTTCTCGCTGAAACGGACGTTCTCGAGATCGTTTTTGGTAAATGCGAGCTCCTTCTGGACTGCCGCAAGACCATGTTCTAGCTGCTCCTTGCGAGCCTTTCTCGCCAAATTTATCGCAGCTTCAGCGAGCTTTCTCATCGTATCTACTTCTTCTCTGTCAAACTCCTCCTCTTCAAATTCCTTTGAGGGTTCGGGAGACGGAGATCTTGCTGTATTGGGGGACCCAGGAGCGATAGGGAATGGTTCGGACCTGGTCTTCAGAATCGACTTGGGTTGTTGATACTCGCCAAAGGAAACGGCTATTTCGCTGTCAGTGTATGCATCGAGAGGTCAAGGGCCGCCTTTTCACTGACCTTGGACGGTGTGCGCGAACTTGACGGTGTTTCCGCTGCGAAGATGTGGAAATCAGCCTCTCTTGTTCGAACCAGCAACACGAGTAGTGAGGTGGCTTTAGGGGCTTGCAAAGTGGATCTTGCGCTGTGAAACGCAGTATGGCATGGGAAGAACTTGCTCGGAAGTGTACATACCTCGTACGACGAGTCTTATTCTGACGCACCGGCGGCGTCTCATCACTAGATCCCTCCTCCGCCTCCTTGCGCTTGTTCGTCGCTCGTGGCATTGTGTTATCGGTAAGGAAGCTGGGATTATGATAGCGAGGGGGCTGGAAGCTTGCAACAGTATTTATGTATTTAGGGTGGTGTTTGAAGAATATCAGGTAGTGTTGTTAAAGACACATGTGTGATTGAAACCTCTGCAACCGCTCGCTAGACCGGTCAGCGGGTGGCTTTTCATGTGTTCTCTGTGTTGAGACAATCCTTCAAGCTCACGGGACACACACCTCCACCCTTCCCACCATTCAATTCTCTAGCCTACTATGGTCCACTCCAGTCGCTACGGCACTTTCGAGGATTACCACCACCCAACTCCGCCGTCAGGTCTACCAATGGCTCCTCAGCTTCTAGAACCAACGACCAAGATAAACACTAAGAATCTACTCGAGAAGTGCAACGACACGGGAATGGCCCTACCCTATGAGCATGTCGCTCTGTCTTGGAAGAACCAGGTTAATCTGGAGTTTTGCAAAGGCCATGCCGTAGGCTGGATGTTTCTCAGTCAGGTAAGCTTGGCTCGTAACCTCGTCAATGCACCTGCAGAAGCTTCAAGAGACTGACCATCGCTGTACAGGTACACCGCGAAGAGGTTATACGATTCGGTCTCACCGTGGGAACCCGGAAGATCATGTCGCATGGATGAACTTGGTTTCCCTCATCAGATCACAATGGAAACGAAGGACCAGGCTTGGTAGTGCACGGCGGCGCTCAGACCCAGAAACACGCAGCAACAGACTCGGCGTGATTGTTGCCAGAGAGAACCATTCAGGGACCGAGACCATTTTGGTCTCAGAAGTGCTGTTCTACTCAGGAGCGGCTATGCTTGGTTGTATGGGACAAAACAGAAAGCATGGCTTTTGGTCGGGTGCCAGGGCAGCGTTTGATATCCGTGGGGACGGCAATCCAATGTTCTGTTCGAAAAAGCCAGCTTCAGGAAAGGATGGGCCCGCCTCGGAATCAGCTGTAACGCGTCCCCAAAACCACGCAGGAAAGGAAAAAATGTGAGTGTTGCTAGAAAGAAACATCGAGGGATCTGGGTTAACGGATTCCTAGGACAGCACCAGTCAAGATCGAACGTGTATAGGTCCAATATGCTACCAGGTACAACAGCTCGGCTCTCGTTAAGCAGGTGAAGAACCTAACATCGGGTTCGGCTTTGGCTTAGCACATGAAGGCTAGAAGATTGAAGGACTTCAAAGACGATGGCAAAGGTGTGTATCTTCAAAGAAAGGAAGAGATGTCGACCATGGTTTCCTAGAGCCAACGCAAAGCGACAGGACAGACCCCCCTTCTTGTACGGCGTGAGCGCTCAGACAATCGGAGAGCCAAATCAGACATTCGGAGAGCCAAAAATTTTTCCCCAAATTATTTTAACTCTCCCCAATTTCATATCCCATTGGGGTATAAAATAGAATAAACAAGTTTGGTAAAATTTTTCCCCAGCAACGCCGAATTACGATCTCACGTTCCTTCCTGCGATCCCCTCCAACCTCCATACTCGCGAATAGCACAACGAAGAAAAGAATCAGATCAAAAGTCAGAGGTCCCCGGCAGATGGTCACTACCGAGAAGGAACGAAAGAGCAGAATCACATTCGCGCAATGACGAGCAGAACGGAGGCATTCAGATTGTGACAAGTATCAAGCGCATCGTCATCGCATTCGGATGATGTTGGTGTCGAAACTTCCCAGGCATGCGGCTGTAGCCATCGAAGATCGGTTGGCAGTCCTTTCTTATGGCAGCAGCTGTGGAAGACGTACCGCCAACAAAACCGCTCGTAATCGTGCGGAATTCTGTTGTCGGAATGAAAGCAGACCAAGATGGTTGGTTATACACATGAAGCGGCTCGAACATCAAGATTCACTCGATCAGGCCCTGACGGCTATCGAGGAAAAACCGAGATTGACAATGGGTTCTCTTGGGCCTCGTGGGGAGCGTCTTGAGAGGTGGCACGATGCGTATGCTACTCGGTCGCAAGTCAGAGACTGGGTACCAGACAGTGGAACGGATCGTTGTGTCTTGGAGAAGGAGATGCTGGCTATCACGAAATACCAGAAAGCAAGATCATTCATGATCATGTGATCCGCCGGTCGGCAGCGACCTACTAAGATCGGAAGACCAGCCACCACCTACAGATGGCAGGTTGAAAGACGTGAGGTTGTCCGGAGGAAAACTCTATGCATACGTTGATGCGGAGCCTCTGCGGTGGTGCTTTCTTACAGTCTCAGAATCCTGTAAATGGTCAGAACCTTGTGAGTAGTGGATAAAGTGTCATTGCAAGAGGCTTGCTGCCAATGCCACCGTCTCTGGTCCTGCATACAAGCTTGATATGGACAGTACAAGCTACCTCAACTACACTCCCTCCTTTTCCCGACACGTCCAGAGCTTTGTTTCAGAAAAACCTCATCCAAACATACAGTGCCTACCCTTTGAAACGAAATGCCAGCCCTGTATCTGCGAAGTGGAAGGTGGCCGGTGCGCCTTGCTTTCCTCCAAAATCTTGCCAGGCAGCCTCGTCGAAATGAAAGGCGCCAACGTCCTCTTGCTCTGCCCGGAGATGCTGACCTGGAGTTTCTTTCTCTTTTCTAGTTGATTCAGCTTGGTCCCTGGTGTCTTGTGTCTTCTGCCGCTTCCCTGCACAACCATCATGGTTATGCTTCCCATGCTCTTCGTATCTCACCCAGTCTTCACCACTACCATTCCCATCTTCTTCGCTTGCAGCATCGTCGCGCTCTCGCTTTTTGTCTTCTCGCAGAATCTGTTTGGCCTCTACCCTCGCTTTCGCAACCTCATAAGCGCTTCGATAGTCCGCTGCCAACGCGCGGTACGCCGCTGGGGTGCACTCATTGGTCTGAAAACCACACATCATTCAGCGAAACCTCTCTAGAGATATGGCTCTTGCTCTTATTTACCTCCCCAATCTTCAACTCTTTGTCCAAAGGGTCCTCAAAATGATAGACCTTCGTGACGACCGCCACCCAGAGCTCTTGCATCGTGAATCTTGAAATGTCCTTGAGTGGATTCGCTTGCAGAACGCTCTTTACGAAGTCCATGTAGTTGACTTGCTGTAGCGCGAGAAGCGAGACCCTTGGGATCACGTATTCATTCCACTCGTTGTCCTCCATAAGGATACAGCCGGGCCAGTACCGCTTCTGAGCCCGAGTCGGGTTTTGTCGAGCTTTGCTGAACGCATAGAGCTCGGATTGGTATTCTCGTTCGAAGAAGGCTTTCTCATCTGCACGCTTTTCCCAGTATCCGTTGTACAGCGGGCATTCGACCTTCAGAGTACGCATCAGTACTTGGATTATATTGGTGCATATCCCACTTGGATGATTACCTGAGCCAGAAGTTCATAACTTTTGGGGTCATCCGCCGGATAAAGTCTTTGTATCAAACGCGTCCATTGCTGATCGACTCTATCTCTCTCGAGCTCGCGCCCTCGCTCTGACTTGTTGTTCTTCTGCGCAGTGCGTGTAAATGCTAGAATGTTTTGGTTGAGCTCCTCGAAGTGGCGCCTAGTATAGCGTGGGGTAATTATTGGTTTGTCGACCTGTTTGATGAGCTTCTTCTTTTTACGCGATTGTTGTTGATGCAATCTGCTTCTCCGCGGAATGGCGTCAGAAGGTGTTTGAAGCTGACGAAACATTGTTCTAAGAAGGGGAACAAGTGGTTGTGTGTGGTCCGAGATGTACGTTGAAGGAAAGGTAAGGTAGTTCGAGAACGATAGATATCTCCGAGACGAAATGCGGGCAAAAATTACGGCACGTGACGTATGTACTGAAATGTGTTGAAGATGGCACCGGGCCGCGGTCTCCCATAGACCAGATTAGGCTGCCGGCATCGCGTCTCGACAGAGCTACTCCAATTATTTAACCCACCTCCCACACGTTCATTCTACCTGCTCCACAGATACCCACAAATCCCTGTCGACCCTTTCCTTTACGGTCATACAAAACTTTGTTAGATTTGCCAGAATGCGTACTCGTGGCGGTGGTGCCCGAGCCACCCACAAAGCCCAAGATGAGCCAGCTCCTGGGGTTCCGGCCCCCTTGAAGCTCAAGATGGGCTGTCATCTTGCTCAAGTCAACTGGACCAAAACGCACTTCGAAACCCTGAAACACACTATTATGGAGTTTGCTAATGATTTCTTACCCCAAAAGGCCCCAGGAACCCCAGTGGGGCCTCATATGGTGTCATGGCTAACCTTTCTAAGGGGAGGGAGTAATGTTAGAACAGCGTCTAATCCCAGCCCAAGGCCGGAGACACACAACGGGACGGCCTCAAAGAGTAGCCATGTACGCTATCAATCTATTCTGTTCAGGGAATCGGGAAGTAACCTGCGTCTTGAGAGGCTAGCCAGTCCGGGTTTCCTCGTTATAACCACCACCGTTGTCAGAACGAAACATTTGGGGGTAGTAGAAACTCTAACCAGGTAACGAAGTTTTATAGTAACCAAGTGCCGATCCTTGGTTTCAAGAAGTCTACCCATCGAAACGAGTCTTTGATCGGTCTTTATAGAGCAGTAGTAGTGGCCTCCTTGAAGCGGGGTAATGTTGATCCGCCACTAAAGAGGTCTGTGGGAACTATTAAAAGCATTTTCTACCTTAGTTATTGGTTTATGGCCGGGGTCTTCTTCTGTTTTCCGTAGGTCAAACCACAAAATGTCTTTGTGTGCCTATGATTTTTATTCCCCTATCATAGCCGGTAGCCTAGTAACGTTATCGAAATTCAGGTGGCCCAATGCTTGATGCCATTCAATGGCTATTGTCTTTCGGTGGTTAGCCTTCTTGATAACCGCGGCCATAGCGATCTCTTTGGCCATTGTAGCTTTAAATGATGTAGTCTCAGCTATAAAGTGTGTCTATCAGTTCTCCCTCAAGGATAGTATCGTCATTATCGTCATAGACTCTTAAACGGTCCCCCTTTCCGGTATAAGTGAGGCCGTTACGTTGGAACGTGCCTAGGGAGAGTAGATTTGTGATAGATCTTCGATATAGTGGACGTTTGCAAGTGTGAGCATGTATTCTTCGTCCTCGCCGTCGTTATTCTCAATGAAGGTCTTTAGCAGGGTATTGCCTACGGCAGTGGCCTCCAGTATCCTTCCGTCAGCAGTCTCGACTGGGATAGGGTTTTCGAGGGGTGTTGGTTCCTCAACGAAATAGGCTTCGGAATATGTCATGTGGAATGAGGCTGCATTATCGAAATACCAGCCGTCGTTATGTGATGTCGTGACAGCCTTCGCCTAGGCCGCCCTTGCTATTTTTGGTTTTTCGGTGGATCCGGTGGAGGTAGGCTTGCTAGCCTTCTTCTTCTTCTTGAATTTCTCGATATGGTCCTTGTTCTTTTTAACCCACTCAGCGGAGGCCTGGTCGGGGTTGGATAGTTAGCAAGTCCTATTATGGTGGCGACCATAGTTGTCACACTTGGGCTAGGGGTGTAATTGTTGTTGTTGTTGCGGTTATTGCCGCCGTTCCCCTTGTTCTTGTTGTTTGTGAACATGGCCTTGCCATTGGAGTTATTGGTACTAGTTAGTTTCTGACGACGTTTCCGATCAAGGAGTTGTTTGACGATATAGTCGAAATCCGGTTTTAACAGCCTTTTATTGGCGTCTTTGCCTCGGCCGTTTAAGACGATTTCCACAAATAATTCGTAAGAGGAGGAAGTCTATAAAGGAAGGATGTTGTGATCTTCCACGTGTAATAGTAGCTTAACTCAGCGAGTTTTGTTTTGGTCTTTTTGATTGTCTTAACGTACTTAGTGACTCCTTTATAGTCAGCTAAGCTTGCACGGCTAATGGTCCTCCATAGTACTTCACGGGAGGTGTATTCTTTGGATTTGTATGCACCTTCGAGTGCTTTGATTATGTTGTGTATATTATGGATACCTGCGATGTGGTATAACCACCTGACTCAAGAGATATACGTATGTTGCCTTCAATCTATGAGTTAGCGGACTCTCATTTATCGTACTCTTCGTCTCCTTGTGGCTGGGTTAGTGTTCTAGCGAGGATCGAGTGTATTCCAGCTATCTAATAGCAACTATACACCGTTTAGTACCAGCGGTCCCAATTAAATGCTCCCTTAAGCGTAGGGATATTGACTATCGATAAGGGTATAGCGAATTTAAAGATCTTCTTGGGCCGTGACTGTTTAAGCTTTATCTGATTTACCTTCTGGGCCTATAGGTCATATAATTCCTATAACTCCTCTGGTGTGGGTGTGATAGGCTGTTAGCCTTCACCGTCTTATTGTCCTGATTTGCCCATTGTGGCTAGAAGGACGTGTGTGTGTTTTTTGAAATTTGATGCAATTGGAATGTTAATGTATCACCAGCATCAACCGGGGGCTCATAACCTCTCAGCGTAGCACAGCAGTGGTGATGATAGAAAGCGTATAGATTCAGTGGTGGGGCCATCAGCTATTATGTAGCTGATGGAGAACAAAGCACTGCTATCTATGGCTAGCTACATGAAAGGAACAATGATGGAATATGCATGGAAGGATGTAGAAGGGACGCATGCATAGAACATGGAAGGAACTAGACACGCTGACAGATTTCTCCCTCAAAAGTGTTTTGGGTTACTGGAACCAGCTCGTTTGGAACTTCTACGGCGAGGGAAACCCGACATGTAATAAGCTAGAATCTCAAGTAAGCTCCCCTCAAAGATAGGCTCAAATCGTACGGTTGGACTGACTTCGTGTCTTCCGATAGGCCGAATCCCCCCACTTCCATGGGTTTTGCATCAAACGTGGATTGCTTGAAGATACCTGGGAGAGAGATGAGGCTGACCGCGGTTTCCGACCGAGTGGGCGTAAAGTCACTCCCAGCGAGAATAAGAGATGGCCTGGCGTACTCATTATGGAAACATGCCCTGATCTCACGACCGTGACCAAGGATCATCGGGAGTTCTTGATCCCTCTCATCGGGCTCCGCGCATTGAAACATGTGCTATACAAGAACTTTGTGCGCTCGGTCCTGGAGGCAAACCTAGGTCTAGAAATCACATACTCTGATATGCAGCTCCTGTGGGATGCGATTGTCCACAAGAGTTATCATTTCGTGTGTACTTGTGAGAGAAAGGCGAAGGTAATGGAACTATGTACTTGATGCCCGTAGAGACTCAATTGAGGTATAGTCGAACTGATGTTCTTGATAGAGCATGGCCGTAGACGGTTATTCTGAGGAGCAGTATGAGCGGCTCGTTCGCGAAGTACGCAGTGTCCTCCAGCACACACTTGGAGCCAAACGTCCGCATCATGAAAGCAGCTCTGAGGTACGCATGATATACGCAAAGGATACGCGGCTACTTGTTGACTGGTTCTGATAGCACGATGCGGATGATTCGGAGCAATCGCCGAGTGAGCAGCGGAAGAAGCGGAGGCAAAGGAGTAAGAGGGCACATCTTTTGAGGCCCGGGCCCACATCTGGTCTATCAAGTCAGTCTCACAGTTTTAATTCCCCTAAAAGTGTATCTCCTGACTTTCGCACAGGCTACGCGATTGCCGCATCTCAATCTGGCCCCGCCCCAGACGAGTCACCATCTCAGAAACCAACAGTGTTTACCAAGGCAGCTGTCCTACGTCGTACGTCGCTCTAATTTTGAGTTCCAAGAGCAGGCTACCGGGCCCGAACTCAACAGCGTGCAGATCGGTCAAGGTAGGGGGAGTGGGTCAGGTGAGAGAGCTGCTCTGAGCGAAGACCGTGGGGTACTGAAATGATTCCAGGCTCGAGAATGATGCAGACGAAAAGGAGCGGTGAAGAAGGTCTGGGGGTACGAGGCGGATTGGCTGGACGAGGCGTCTTGAAGTCGGATCGATGATAGCGCCTCCGGAAAAAAGGTGTACGAAACTCGTACTTTAATTTTGCGATAGTAACGATACTTCCAGAGGGGTCTAAAAGTAGAGTTAATAAAAGGACGCATTGTGTGTTAGGATTTGTATCGCTTGAAGCGATGATTTGCAGTAATGAAAAATAATGCAAGGTTCCGGCTACAAGGTAACAGAGACGATCATCTTAGGGCCTGTAAAACAACTATGCTTTTTTTACTGTCGATGGATCTAGAGCATGACAGCTCTGCAATGTTCATCGCTTGAGACTGTAGAGGCGAATGGGCTTTACTCTAGTATCGTGGTGATTGCCCAAGTTTGCACGCCCAGAAGTTAAATGCATTATATATTAAAATAAGGACCAAATCTACAAGAAATCGGTAGCTTTGCCCCAGGGGCTGAGTGCAGGGGTCTAGAGATTGATCGAGCGCGTTGAACCGTTCTCATGTTAGTCACCTGCGATCGATTTCTTTTTGCACGGTTCGAATCCGTCAAGTTTCGATTTTGGGTTTTCCTTTTTTTTTTCTGTCTTGTCAGTCAGAAGCACTTTTTACGTTTTATTCCTAATCATTACATGAACTCACGCATGGAATAATATTATTAGGCAGTTGTGGTGCTCTGATAGTTATAGGGCGTGGCTTCCTTGCAGGCTTTTGCAGCTAAAAAATAAAATTTTTTTTTTTTGGTTTTTTTTGGTGGGGGTTTTTTTTTTTTTCCCCCTTCCTTTTTTATAAAATAATTAACCCCTCCTCCCCCCCAGAACTCCTCTTCTTCAAATCTCTGAGTACTTGACTTCCCGAGAAGTTGGCTTCAGAGCTCGCTTAGCCGTGTTGCAAACTCTTATTTCTACCCGATTTGCTCGCTGAAGTGAGTGAATGAGTCGCATGCCTAGAAGGAGATTGTGATCTGTGTAGTTGGTGCTCTTTGTGTCATTGCTTCTGTCACCCCATTGGCTCGAGAATGAATCGAAGACCCTCTTGGCAAAGTGTACAACACTACACAGCTTGCCCAAAACTTGGGGCTCGATATTCCGTGACACTGATAGCAAAAAGCCTTCAAACTCACCACTCCATAGTATTGAAGGAAAGAAAGCAACGAAGCCTCGAGCAACAAGTTATGAGAGCTACTTATCCTAAAGCTAGTTCAAGTTTACTTTTTCGTATTATTCTTTTTACCAACTCTATATATAACGCCAGAAACTCCTTGTGGAATTTATATTGCTGAGATAGCGTTCCCTTATACCGTGTAACTTCTGATGATGATACACGCGTGCTAGAGGATTTTGAAGACTCTGCACCTTATGGAAAGATTTTTATATGCCCTACGACGGTACCCGCTTTCCGACGGCTCTTGCTCAGCCGCCGATGACGATTCGCCAAACGATTTGCCTGCTGGGACCATAAACGGCGGGATCGAGCTTGCTGTTTCAGACATGCTATCAGAGCGCATTCAGGAGGTTGAGCATTTGAGGGCGAGTGGGAGATGGGTCCTTGTTGGTCAACATTGCTAGATCGCCATCAGAGCAAGGTGTCAGGAGGTAGAACAGAGTTGTGCTCTTTCGCAAAAAATAGCTAACCTGGAGAAACTTAACTTGATGATTAGATCCCAGCCGTGAATCATTCTGTTGCTGTGCTTTCAGCGCTGCCATGACCGACTTTTGGGATTCATAGTGCAGAGCGCTCAACGCTTTCGCCGCCCTACTGTTTTGACTAGGGGTATGAACGGTTGTATGTGGAGGAAGAAGAGATGTACACTGGGGACAATGTAGGATTGTTGGAGAACGATCGACTTTCCCGAGACGAGACACGTGAAGAATTCAGCATGTGACGTGCGCATTGAGAGGTGTTGAAGAAGGTGGCGGGGCTCAAGCTCAATATCGGGAAGCTAGTTGCTTTTTCACGGCGTCTGACAGTATCGTCACCATTTTGCCTCTTCTCAGGGTCATATCTTTGCATCTTGCTTGGCAGCCTTTGTCGCAATGATTCCACCCCGCAGCTGCGGATAAGGTTCAGGGTCGTGATAGCAAAGTGTTGAGCAATCTGGAAAATTGCCCCCTCTCCCGACGGTAGGAAGCTCTTGCCGCGTCCCAATCGGACATTTTCACACCACCATCAACAACACACACACTCACGGTGATTCAACCTCCTCAAACCTCAAAGGTTCCCCATTATACCCTCTCGCGATCTGCGTCTCGTCCCCCCAAGGCTCAATATGGGAAGAGACAAAGGCACAAAAGCTGCAGGAGCTACAGAGGATGGAGGAGCTCCAACCTTGCAAGACCAGAACTTCTACATTGATATGGCTCCACTCGAGTTCACCAGAGAGCAACTCGTAGGGCCCAAGAGCGGCATAACTCGGTTCGCAAGAACTCACATGAACAAACATGATCTCGCCGGTCTGGAACTTGGCCGAAGGGATGTGATTTCGATGTGGTGGCTCAACGCGGGAAAGGTTTTCCCTAGAGGTGATCCCAAGCGTGAGGAGATCATGGACCAGGTATGTGATTTGACCAACTCGAGTGAATTAAATGGCTGACTTGCGGTCCCTACGTAGGTAAACAGCCCTCTATTCCACGAATTCTGGGCTAGACACGCCCACGATCCGGAGTACAAGGACGAGTCTCGAGCCTTTCGGAGGGTCGAGCGCGTCGTATCCCGCGAAGAAACTCAACGATATCCAGGCTATCTTATGATGGAGAGTGATAGTTTGCAAATCTTGGTGCCCAGAATTCTGAGTTCTGCCATTCAATACATCACCTTCAAGGAAATGGTCCGCTGGGTGCTGGAGGCGAACCTGCATCAAAAAATCGAGCGCTCTGACATGGTGAGCCTATGGGATGCGATAATATACATCATATACCACTTCGAGTCCTCTGCAACCCAGGAAAAGAAGGTTCGTGAGGTATGTAGTTGCAGCCATAGAGGGTTGGAGTGAGAGGGGTGTGACTGACAAGCGATAGAGTGATGAGGTCAACAGCTTCACTCTGGAGGAGTATGAGCAAATTGTCAATGAGGTCCGAGAAATGGCGGAAGGCAATGGGGGTCTTGCCCAAGGCCACAAGCGCGTACACTCAACAACTCGCGATAAAGACAATGAAGATGGAGCCGAGCTTGACAATGTAAGTGATCAGCTCTTCGTGAAGCTAAAGAGGCGGAAGTCTTACTTGTGAGATAGGGAACCTCCTCAAGTAAGGGCCTCAGAAAGAGGAGATCACCCAGTCGTTCGGCTCCTAGTAAGGATTCTGTCTTACCGTGTCAGTATTAAGAGGCCTCATTCCCCGAAAATGTTCTATACTGACACCGAAGTAGCAATAGAATCCCCTTCTTCTCCGCCACAATCTGCTGGTCTGCCTCGGAACCCACCTCCAAAAGTCGCCCCACCCACCAAGAAGTCGCGCGCAAAGTCTCCGCCCACCACCAAGCCCAAGGAGAAGTCGGCCGGACCGAAGGTCGAGAATCAGCTGGAGAAAGAGCACATGGCAATCCAGGGTGCAAGGACGCCTGGTAACAATCCTTCTTGAGGAGATGAAAAGGCAGCTGCTGATGTGAATCAAGGTACAAGAATAATGCAGACCAAGAGAGGGACCAGTGGAAGTCGGAGGGGGCGAGGTACCTACGTATACGAGAAAACGGAGCTTTGACCCTTTCTTTGAGATGGATGTCGCATGACGGGCAGAACCAAAGATACGTCGAGTTGGTAGCGCAAAAGCTTAGTTGCAAGGCCTGTAAGAGACTTGTCATAAGAGTCGGGCTTAGGTAGCAACAGATCCAAGGTCCTATTTACTGTAATCAGCTTGGCGCTTGAAACCAAGATAAACTTAAACCCGATTATGAGCCTGCATGCCGAACGTGAGATATCGAGCTTGACTAACAGTAGCCAAAAGGCACCTGAACCAACCTACTACCCGCCGCCCGAATTCACACATAGCCCAGCGGCTAAGTGCGAAGAACATGCTGAGCGGTCGACCGTTCCCTAATATTCGCCGTGTGAGTTCACTTCAGAGATTCGAGTCCTCGAAAATAGTTAACTATTTTTGCTTTGTTTCTTTTTTTCTTTCCTTCCTTCGTCCTTTCTTCTTTCTTCCTCGCTCCTTTTTCCCCTCGGCTTCTCAGTCGCAGCTGCAGCGCGCGGAAAGCGTCTCTGTGACTTTTTGTTCAAGCTCTGTTGGCGAGTGTGGCGAAACAAGATGTTGAACACATGCCGGCAGAACTCCGCCAACAGGCCAGGACAGCGAGAAAGGGTGACCCTGCATAAAACAGCAATAGGAAATCGAGCTTTAATGTCCCCGAATGACATCAATCACGACGCAAAGATATAGGTACTGAACGTTAGGAAGCAACCAAAACTCAAGTAAACGGATTATGAGAGCTCCTCATTCCGACGCCAATCCACGAGTACTACTTTATGACTTCTTTGAATGACCCACTTTGCCCATCAAGGATGCTCTATTGGTGCTGAAGTGATAGCAATTGCTGAGATCTTTTCTGTTTCTTCGCCCTAGGCTATCGGACAGAGAAGGGAAGGAAGTCGCTAGAACGATTCATTTCCATTGCGATTACCGTCAATCTGCTTAGGCGGTACCGCCGAATCATGAACACGTGTCAAAACGATGAGGATTCTTGCCAGTCTATGAGCGAGAAGGGTAGGGGAAGGAGACGAGGTTGGGACGAAGTTTTTGCAGATCTTTGTCCTCACCGAATGAGTTGATTTGGATACGACCGCCTTATTTCTGGACCAACGAGCCAACGTATGGTCATAACCAAGCCCTGAAAGGCGCATCTCATCTATCGCTAATTACATCGTACATATTCCCTTAGCTACCACATAACTTTTATCCTATACGCCGACGATATCCCTCAAACTACATACTCCTCCTCTCCCCAAGGACAGATCTCCGCAGCCTTGACTCTCCATACCTCAAACCCCTTTGGCGAAAAGCGGATGAGCATCCGGCCTCGCCTTCTTCACCTCCTCTAGATACTTCTGCCAAGGCTTCGCGAGCGCCGTATAGTGCATCACCTTCACATTTTTATAGATATCCTCCAGAGTCGCACTCAAGCGTTTCCCGCGCTCTTTCAATTCGTCTTTCCAGACTTGCTCTTTGTGCACCTCCTCCACTGCATCCCTGGCCGCTTGTATCATCATCTCGCGTCTTGCGGTGGCGTTGCGGTATTCGGAGAGGAGGACTTGATCAGCCTCGGAGAGATTGCGGGTACTATTCGTAGAAAGCGGGCCTTTGAGTGAGTGAGGAACCCCTATTGGTGGAGGATCCGGAGTTGGCGGCAATTTTCTCGAAGGTTTCCAAGAAGAGTCTCTTGGAGGTTCAGAGCCTTGCCACCATTTTGGGATGCTGTTCGTTTCCCATTCGCTGTTGAGAGTGCAGTAGTCACCTGGCAGTACCATGGTCGTTTCGCCAAACATTTTGTTCAGAAGATCCATGTCGAATGTGTCATGTTTGATGGTTTGGAGGGCAAGTTCCATGCGGCCCCAAAGTCTGTCGCTCAAACTAACGAGGAGGAATGCAGATGTGAAGCCAAATGAGCCTTGCCAGTAGGCACGAGGAGCTGCAAGGTCGACGGCTGGGAGGAGAAAGACGTGGTCGAGGGATTGTAAGATGATTTGGTCCGAGTCGAGGATGAGGACTCTTCTTAGTGAGGGTATATATTGATGGAGACGGAATCCCACGAGCTTCAGAAGAACGTCGGCGTAATAGGGGACATCGTCGTCGTATAGTGGTGGAGGTTCGTAGGGTATGACCGTCGCATTCTGTGCTGTGAAGCGAGTGAGGTATTCGGAGCTAATTATAGGCTTGACGAGAACTATGATTCGGTGGTTGGTGTGGAAGACATTGTTGAGCCGATCTATGTTGATGAGGACGGAGCAGGCATACTCAGCCTCGGTGGCGTAGAAGACATAAGCGTATGGACTAGGACCGAAGTCTGGCAGAGTCGTAATGTTGCCTTCAGGCGTGAGCCCCTGTACAGGCCCTACATTGGTGTCGTTGTGTGTTATTTGCGGTGTGATGTGGCCGGGACAGGAAAAGTCGTTATATTGATGTTGCATATTGGGTTGGCGTACTATCCAGAACCAGAGGAAGGAGAGAGTACAGGCCAGAGATACCAGAATCTTTCGTATAAAGTAATGAGCCACCATCATGACCTACTGACGACCACAGTGGTGGTTAAAAGATCGAGATAGAACATCCAGCAGCCATCAGCATTTTTGCTACAGGCTGCGCTTGACAGAAGCTATCAAATAGGTGCTATGGGTTGAGTCAAGTACCATAGTCACTCTTGCACCAAGTCCGTGGGTGCAACAAGCCCGTGTCCATACCAATCCAGCGAGACATTTACAAGGAAAGCAATATGATAACGCGAAGAAGAGAGGGAGATAATCGCGGTAGGAAAGAAGAGATCAAGTAATCGTCGTGCCACGCACTAAGCTGATGCGTGGCATAATCATAAGGGGAAGGCGAGCATCATATCTTCCGCACCATATGTAGTACCGTTAAAATTAGAACTTTCTGTCCTGTAGAACAAGGCACATGAAACGTAGCGTTAAAGCTTCGTGCTCTTCTATAAGAAGCTTCCAATGTCTCGAAGGGATTGTGCAAGGCTTACGCGCATAAGCGACCCGCCATATTTGTCTTGTCATAACAGCCAAAACCTCCCGCACGACGTTGGAAGTTCATCAAGCCCATAATATCTAGTCGTAAGTTGCATAGTAAGCCTCAGGCGCTCTCGTTGACGGTATGTTGTAGAGGGTTGCGCCAAAGGCGTATGTTGGTCGAGCAAATTCCAAGGGTTGTAGGGCTGAAAAGTGGCTGCGCATTGGGGCGGCCGCGAGAATTGTAAAAAAATTCCTATTTGGGGGTTTCAGACTAGGGAGTCAACCACAATTTGACTCTACCGTGTATACACTACATTAGCTGTTTTCCCTATATATTCGCGTGAGGACCTTACCTGATTTTTAATAGATCTATGTAGCTATAAGGCCTTAGTAAGTATAGCCTTCTTCGTAGAATAGTAATCTTAATAAATATCTCTATTTGTCTATTACGCAGCTATATAATTACTCTATAATCTACTATATCTCGAATTAGCTAGAAGTAGATACTACTAAAAAATCTCTTTTATATATATCTTAGTATTTATACTTCTAAAAATAATTAAGAGATAAAGAATCTTCTTATTCTTCGAGAGGCTATAAAGAAATAACGATATTACGTATTACGAATAAGTATCTTAAAGATCTAATTAAAGCTTAATTATTCTTTCTTTCTTATTTAATAAGAGATTTTAGAGCTTTACTCGAATAAATAGATTTAGCTTTCGAAAGATCCTTCGCCTAATTAAAGAAAGATATTATCTTCTTAAATAGATTTTATATATTCTTATAGATATCTATTTAAAATTAGCTACTTATAATCTTATTTAGACTTAATTATAAGAGAAATAATAATAGCTATTTAAAGGTCGCTAGCTAATAAAAAATCTCGAAAGAATATATATATAACTATATTAAACGCGTAATTATCGTTCTCTTTATAGATATTTAAATATAGTTATTCGATAATTAGATATTAGAAAGAGACGCTTAGAAAGTATATATAACGATAAATAAGAGGGCTTTATTAGGGCTATAGAAAAGATAAATAAAACTAATATTATTCTAAAATATAAGTCTAAAGAGAAATATAATAGCGAGGTCTTTTAAAATAAAAAGAAGAGATATACGTTAGATTTATATATTATTTATAATAATAATAAAGAGATTATATATCTTCTAGTCGGCTAATTAAATACCCTATATAATACGTATATCTTTATCTTTACGAGTCTTAGTAGAAGATTATAGAAGTATTTTACTTAGAATTAATATTTTCTTAATAATACGATCTATATAAATATTAGCTATCTTATTATATTATATAAGATATTAGAAACGAAAAATAGAAATAACTATCGATTTAATAAGAAGCTATTAAGTATTCGAATTAATATTAAATATATCTTTAATATACTTAAAGAGACGCTAGCTTAGTCTTATCGAACTAAGATTTATTTTTAATAATAATATATAATATAAATACGCGGTGCGTTAAATCGACTATTATTATATATTTTATAATCTTTTATTACGATATAATAATTAGTAAGAGAAAGATAAAGACTAATAAACTTCGAAGTAGAAGAAGAAGTATAACAATAAGTTAGCGAAGTTTATAAGTTAGTAGAGACGTAAAGATATTTAGAAAAGAGATTATATAAAGAGTATTATTCTAAAAAGAAAGCTTTAATTAATTATATTTATCGTAATTTTCTTTAAACTTATCTTATATATAAATTTCGATAGATAATAATAACGATTTACTTATAATAGCTTAAAATAAACTTTAAATAGTCGATTTTTATATTAAAGAGACTCTTCGATAAGAAGAATTAATACCTTCGATATTATATAACTCGCTTTAAATTCTAACTTTTTATATAAATTTTCTTCTTCGAATAAAGAAGATAAAGAGAGTGAAGAAGATAAAAGAAATTTATTAGTTGCTTAATACTTAAACTAAGTATTTTTAAATAATTTATATATATAAAAAATCGATAACTAGCGACGACGATTTACTTAAAATAAGTATAAACGAACTTTAAATAGTCGATCTCTATATTAAAGAGATCTATCGATAAGAAGAAATAGTACTCTTGATCTTATATAGCTCATCTTAAATTCTAACTTCTTATATAAATTTTTGTCTCTAAATAAAGAGAGTGGAGACGGCGGAGAACTTTTAAATTAAAGAAAAAAAATGTAATATTTATATATCTAATCGTCTTACTTCTAATCTTACTTCTAATTTTTTTAAATCTTTTAATTATAGAGGTAAAAAGTCTCTTACTATAGATTTAATCTCTCTTAATCTTACTGTTACGAGCGTACCCTTGACACACCACTCAGCCCTATGGCTAGCGGCCTTGGCAGGAGGCATCCCCTACTATATCATGCCTCCTTCCCACCTACATAGTTCGGTAGCCTTATTATCCTCGTTCTACCTCACCCATACTGGTATCGCACCTATGCTGGTCCTGACATTATAATAAGGCTCCTTCGTACCCCCCGGCGAAGAGAAATGTAATTCGGGCACACTCCATTCGAATTAGCGGACGAATTCAAAGAAATGCGCTGGCTAGGGATGCGTAATGACTGACATTTGACCCCTATGACAGTCATGTGACGGTCATACGGTGACAGGCCGTTTGACCTGACAAATGACAGCGCTAACCGTATACAGTAGGTATCTAACCGTGAAAGATATAAGGCTAACGAAGTCGGGCGTAGTAAATAGAGGCTTGGCGTTATTAATCCCTAGCTTGGTATGGTATCACTGGTGATACTAGATTTCAGCCCTAATAACCTCTGAGTCCTACCGTTTCCCTCGAATCTCACGCTTTACCTTACTACAAGCCTTTTGCAGTGCGGTCATTTGGCTATATATGACTGTCAAATGACCGAGTAGGTCTGACCTGACGTCACGTGTCATATGACACATCCGCATCCCTAGCGCTGGCAGGGGCTTTGGCAAGAAACCAAGTTGAGCCATCGTATCCCTGGGTAAGCCCACCAGACGGGTAACTCGATTTCATAGCGAATCGGACTCGGCAAACAGTGGTCGAGGGATAAACAAGGCATTGGACCATTCGTACGGCTAGCGAATCGAAAGAAATAGTTAACACCCCCACACTCACAGTGAGCCTGCTACAATGGCAGCAAACGTACGACCTCTTCATTGAGCATGTCGACAACATCATAGTGAGCCTGCTACAACGGCGACGGGAACAGCCCCGAAACGACACATATCGACCTCTTCACTGAGCATGTCGACAACACACATAGTGAGCCTGCTACCAAATGGCATTCAACACATTCGATTCTTCCCAACCTCCTACCTCCCTACCAGACCCTACGAATCGAAGGAGATAGAACGGAGGATGGATTTTTGATGGCAAGAGCATGGGAGACACAGGGCAAATCTACAGTGTAGCTCCCAGGCCAGGCTGCCAACGGGTGTTGGAGGTGAATGCATGCGTTGGATTTTCTTCAATTCTACCGAAGGACTATGGCAAGGAGAAGAACTCGGGGAATCTTGCTGGCACGCAGGCAAGATATGGCCAATATCTCCAGGATCTCTGCAGGACAATACCACTACACCTCTGCAAATCGTCTCCGGTCGAGGCCTACACGGACTATGGATGTTTGGAGACACAGGGCAAGCAATGGGCGTGCATCTCCGGTCTACCAGCCATGGGGGCCATGGCTATTGAGAGGGGGGGGTAGTGTTACGAGCGTACCCTTGACACACCACTCAGCCCTCAGCCCTATGGCTAGCGGGCCTTGGCGGAGGCATCTCCTACTATATCATGCCTCCTTCCCACATACATAGTTCGGTAGCCTTATTATCCTTGATCTACCTCACCCATACTGGTATCGCACCTATGCTGGTCCTAACACTTACTATAGAAGAATTATATATTATTAATTTCTCTACTTCTAATCCGCCTTAAATCGTATCTTCTAAATCTTCGCTTATATCTCTATATTCTAACGTCTTATTATATCTCTTATCTATTCTATCTTAATTATTATATCGATAATATTACGCTATTAAGTCTTAATCTTCTTTACTAATTATTCTTTATCGCTTAATAAAAGTATCTCTATAATTACTTTCGTAGGCTTTTTTCGCTTTTCCTTTATCTTCGTAGCGGGGATTTCGAAGCGAGAGATTATTAATATATACGTGATAAGATTATTCGCTATAGATATATTAGAAATAATCTTTAACTAAGTTAATTAGATATTCTTTAATTACTACGTATTCTTTAATTAATTAAATTCTTTTAATACTTTCTTAAAATCTAAATTTAAAAGACTATTATTTAGAGAAATCTTTTAAATATCTCTAGTCGATAACTTATTCTACTTAATTAATATATTATCTTTATTATTATCTATTATAGTATTCTTCTCTTTATTAAAAGACTTCGAATTCGTATAATTAGACTACTTAGATTCGCTTAAAAAGAGCGTTATAACGTTAAGATTAATATTAAAGAGAGCTTCGAAATAATAATACTATACGTAGTACTTAAGAAGAATTAACTTAATAATCTTAGTCTTAAAGTTATTTACTAGATTATTATATTTATTTAAATTCACCCCTTAATCTATTAATTTCGCTTTATCTCTTTATCTTATATAGATAGCGTATATAGTATATAGCTTATTAAATATTATAGTCGTAGTTATACTAGACTTTATAGCTAATATAATTACTAGTCGAAAAGATATAGTATATCTTATAGAATATTTCATATTAAGTAATACTATATCGTACTCGAATATAGTATAAGTAAAGTTAGATATCATATTATTTTTCTAATATAGATTCGAAATCTTAACGATATATTTTACGATATAATATATTTATAAAATTATATTATAGTATAAAATATATATAAAATATCTCGATTAGAATTTCTATATTTATAGAATAATCCGACTAAGATATATAGAATATATTTATTCTTCTTTATTAAGAGAGAGAGAATATAAAGAATAATTTAATATAGTTATTTATCTTTTTATTAATATTAATAATTAGAATAATAATTAGAACTATAAGCGTTTTTATTTTTCTTCTTAAAATTATAATATAAAAGAATATTCTAAATTTTAGATCTTTAAATATTATAAGAATAAAATTCTATAATTATCTCTATTTATATATTCGCTTTAACGCGTTATATAAGCTTAATAGACTTTATATTTATTCTTCTCTTAAACTCTAACTCACTCTTCTATTCTACTCTATCTCGATTTTTCTAAATATCTTAAATCTATCTCTATCTAATTAAACTTATTAATTATTTATAAATAAATTCGCTTTCTAAATTATTTTAAATCTCTTTTTTAAGATTAAATCTATTATTATTAATTCTCTTTAACTATAAATCTATTAATTATCTCTCTATATATTATAGAGTATTAATAATATATCTTAATAAATTTATAAATATTAGATTTATCGAAATACTTTTTATAAGCTTATTACTTTTATTAATATAATTATTATAAATATTAATTAAGTTTTTATATAAAGTATTATTAGCTCTTTTAATCTAATTTAATATATTAAGATCTTTTTTAAAATTAAATTAAATTTATTTAAGCTTATTTTCTTAATATTTTATATAAAGAATTATTATTAGAATATAAAATATTATTAATAAATAATACTTCTAAATATTATAATATCTTTATTTATTAAAAAATATCGCTTATATATAATAGTCTCCGTGAGAGAATAAAGAATATTATAAGCTATTCGAGCGATTATAGCGTATTTAAGCTTTAATTTTTTTTATTATTTTAAAATTAAAAGATTCGCTAGATTATTAAAAGAAGCTTTATAAAAATTAGAAGTAAAATTATAATTAAAATAATAATTAGAAGATTTATTATTTCTTCTATATTACTAAAGTTAATTATATTTATTCTTATTATTTAAATTTTTAATCTTAAATTTTATTATTTAATTAAGTATATTTTTATTTAATTAACTTATTCGCTTAACTCTTTATAATTAACTACTTATATTAATATTTTAATAATTTTAAAATATCTTTTTAAACGCTTTTTAGTAAATCTTTATCTATAATTTCTTTTTAATATTAATCTTTTAATTTAATCTCTTTAACTTTATATTATTATAATTTAAATATAAAAATATAACTTATTTATATAAATAGTCTAAATTTAATTAAATTTAATTATAATAGATAACTAATTTCTCGCGAGCCGCTTTAAAAACTTTAAAAGGTTTTTTTTTTTAAAGAATTCTCTTTCTTTTTAATTTTTCGAGCTTTTTATCTATATAATTAAATAGATAATTATAAATATTAAAAATATAATAAATTATAATCTTCTTTTCTTTATTTATTAATTTTATAAATTTATAAAAAGATCTAATAAGCTAAATTAAATATTAAATTTATTAGAAATTAATTAAAAATTATTTAGATATCTAGATTATAATTTCTATTTATAATTATTTTTTATTATTTAATCTTAAATAAATAATTTATTTATTTTTTAAAAAGTATATAATATTAATATAAAGAAGTAAAGCGCGAATTAATATCTAATAAATTAAATTTTAATAAATCTTAATATTCTAAAAGAGCTTAAAAGAGCGTTTCTAATAATATTATTTTTTTTAAAAAATTAATATTTATCTAATATTAAAATATTTTTATTTTAAAGTTATTTAATTTATAGTATAAAAAAGATTTTTTTACGCTAGCTATTAATATTAATATATATAATAATTTTTTAAATTTTAATATAATTAATAATATAATAATTAAAATAATAATAAAAAATATTATATTTTTATTAGAGTTATTAATAAATTAACTATACTTATTTAAACTTAATTCTTATCTTCTTTATTATCTTAACTTTTCTAAAATTTGTTATTTATTAAAATAACTCTAATATTATTTAAAAATTCTTTTAAAATTAATTAAATAATATATACTATATAAGAAATATATTATAAATAATTTAAAAATTTAAATTCTTTAATATTAAGCGAGTTATCTATTATAAAAATAAAAAAATAATTAATTAAATTATTAAAGAGTATATTATTATTATTAGCGTTATTAATTATAAATTTAAATATATAAATTTAAATCTTATATTTTATAAGAATTAAATTAATAATACTTATAAGTTTCTAGCTAATATATTTATTTTTAATATATTTAAAATCTATAAAAATCTTATATTATTATTAATTAATATTAATAAAAAGATTAAAATTATTATAAATAATTAATAATTATAAGATAATTAATAATTTAGAATTAAAGAGACTTTAATATTATTAATAAGTAAATTCTTTAATAATCTTATCTCTAGCTCTATAGCTTTTTTTATTAATTAATTCTTTATAATAGATATTAACTTTAATTATATATTAAAATCAAAATAGTATAAAAATTATAATATTTTAGAATTATTAATAATTATAAATAAAATATTAATATTTATAATTTAGCGATAAAATTATTTCGAGAAGTCTTCGCGTATAAACTTTCGATTTTCTAATATTATAAGAGAATTTTAATATTATTTTTTCTAGAATAAATAGTAAGCTAGATATTCTATTTATCGTTCTATTTATTAATAATTTATATTATTTAATTTAGAAATATATCTAATTTTTATAATTATTAACTAGATTTATTTATTATAAACTACTTAAATTAAATTTCTTAATATATTTCTTAAATTTAATATATACTTTTATATCGCTTATTCTATAATCTATAAATAGATAAATTAAAATCTTATTATAATAATAATAAATAATATATAACTTCTTAAAATTAATAAGCGTATATTTATTAAATTATATTTATTTCTAGAATTTTCTAATTTTTAAGCCTTAATAAATAAGCTAACGATCGCTATTAGATTTAAACTAATTCTATATAATCTATATTATCTTTATTTATTATTATATTTTTTATTTTTTATTATTAATATTAAAAAGAAAATAAGATTTATTACTATCTTTATATCGAAATATATTTATTAATATCTTATATTAAATATCGTTAATTAAGAAAGCTAGATCTATACTAAATAGAGATTTAATTAATATTTTAAAATTAAGATGTTTAAAGAGAAATTAAAAGAGATATATAAACGAATAAAGTATTAAAAATAAAATAAAATTAATATTTAATATATAAATTCTATCTTCTCGCTATAATAGAAACTTATATTTTCTTAATAATATATCGCTATATTATTCTCGATATTTTAAATTAAAAACTAACTTTTTCTAATTAATATTATAATTAATAATTATATATTTAAAAATATATAATAATATTAATATAGAATTAATATTTAATTTTATTAATTTAAAACTCTAATTAATCTAGCTATTAACGCTTTTCTATTTAATATAATATATATTTTATTCGCTTTAATATTAATACTAATTTATTATTATATTATTTTAATTATTAAAATTAAAAATTATATTTATTTAATTAATATTTTAATCGCTAATTATATTAATAAGAGTATATATTAATATCTTAAAACTATTAAATCTATTTTATTAGATATTAATATAAAATTAAAATTTAATTTAAGCGCTTTAATAATTTAATTAATTAGATTAATTATTATTTAAATCTTTTATATATAAAAATTAAATCTTTTATTATATTAAGATTATTTTTAAATTTTAA